CTGAGGCACACAGTGACCTTGGGAGCTGTTTTGTTTTTATTCTGCAGAGAAGCCAAAGGCAGCCCAACTATTTGGAAACAAGAGGCAGGGAGATTCCCCCAAAACACTTGTCCCTCTTCCCTGACTCTGGAAAGAAGACTCTCTTTTATTTGCTGCCCTTTCCGCTCACAAACTGCGTCCACGCTGCAGAAACAATCCAGTTCGATACCACTTTTAACGGCTGTGGCTCCGTGCCATGGATTCTCTGGGATTTGTAGTTTGGCGAGACACCGAAAGTCTTGGACAGAGAAAGCTAAATATGTCGTGAAACTGCAAATTCCCATCGTTTAATTGCGTTGAGCCATGGCAGTTAAACTGGCATCAAACTGCATTAATTCTGCAGTGCGGACGCAGCCCATATGGCACTCACCAGTTGGATGGATGAGAGCGAGGCGGACAGGAGAATGTCAACGTTCCCCCCAAATTGTCTCAAAATTAGCCTAATTTTTGTTTTATAGCAAAGATACTTTCCATTTTGGCTTAAAATTTTATTTGAAAAAAACACTCAAGGTGGCGAATTCTAAGGCACAGGCTCCAAAGGGGAGAGGGTCTGTATTTCTTAATTTTTTAAAATGAGAGACGGTCGCATCCCCTCTTTGCAAACGGAAAGCAGGCCATAAGTTGTGGGAGCCAGGATGCAATGGGGAGAGAAGGGGAAAAGTCCCAGAGAAAAGGAGCCAGGCCAAAAACACCAGAAACAGGCGTAAAGAAGGAAGGCATTCATCTGTCGGAGGGCCAGAGGCCTTGGGGCAGGCTATATGGAGCCCCAAACAGCCTTGTTTTTCTTACCGAATAAGAAGGGAGGCATGGAAAGTGGGCGATTCAGGTCTGGGGGAGTCTTCTGGTCCCAAAGGTTTGGGTAGAAATCCATCAAAGCGCAGAGTGGGAAGGAACCCCAGAGGCAATCTAGTCCAACCTCCTCCTGCCGTGCAGAAACAAACTGCCAAAGCGATCGTGAAAGATTTCCTCCGGTCCTCCAAAAGACGGAGGCTTTGCAGCCCATGTGCCACTGTCACAGCCCAAAGAAGTGCCTCCTTTATGCTTAGAGGGATCTTGCCATTTGAATCCATTGGTCTGGGTTCTGGTCTCAGGAGCAGCGGAAGACAAGCGCTCTCCATCGTCTGCGTCACGCGTTGAGAGATGCCAGTCCCTGGAAAGTTTCTAGGAAAGAAGGAATGGTCCCCAGCGGGTGCAAATGCGGCACGGAGACAGTGGGAAGGAAGAATTG